TAAAGTAAAGTAGTCTTATTATGACGACGTTAGGTAGGTAGTAGTAGATATATATATATATATATATATATATATATATATATATAAAATACAGCCCACCTAATACTAGACCACTATAGTTTAACATTGTTTTTATGTTACTATGATAACATTAAAAGGGTTTATTTGTAAATAATCTCATTCTAACTTAATATATATGTGTAATGGCACCTTGAACTGATAAGGCAGTGTAGAACTCTACACAAACAAATGAAACGATAGTGTATTTTTGCATCAATGTTACCATAATTACCTACATGGAGATGGCTTTGAAATGAGTCATAGCGAGAGTGCGCAAAATTAGCTCTGATCCTTTTGTAATAATTATATTGTTAAGACAGCGGAAGTCACGTGACCCTGGTAACACGTCATGAGATTCTCGAAGGATCTTGACTTTTCCTGGCAGCTCTGGTCTGTTCTGGGCGCCCTCTTGTAAAATATATTGATGGGCCATTCTTTATCCCCAAAAGGGTGTACCATATTTGTGACATGTTAGATGTCAGAGAAATGCCCTATTGGATTTAACAGGATTTACCAGTCAAGGAAGAATAATTTAATGGAGATACTTGCAGAATCTTTGTGAAATCCAAGAACAAAAAGGATCTAATCTGAGTAATGGGTTAGGTATCAGTCATATACAGTGGATTCGTTTTTCTTGCTTGCCAAATACTTAGCTTCTCAGTGGCTGGTGCTATTGGTTTTCTTAGATGTGATGTTAAACATCCTTATTTTGATCTATTTTCATTCGTGAAATTGCCCTGTCAAACAGTTTTATCCACCTATTCTGACATTATAATGTGATAAACGGACTACACGTGTCTATTTCAGCATTTTTATCCGCAAGCACTAAACTTGTTCATTTTTTTACTGACCATCTTGATGACTTTAGCATTTAATACTGAATGTTTTTTAGTTTGATAGTTTTATTTTCCTTTTTATTATTACGGTTAATTAAGACCATTTTCACTAATGTATTTCAAGTTTCTTAATTTGAAAATAAGTTTCAAATCATACAGTGTTTTCTCTATATAACTTTTGTGAAAAATTACTCAGAACATTTCTGACAATATTAGTTTTTTGTGCTTCTATTGACAATAAATGTTTCTTTCTGTGGTTACTTTTATTATATATGAACTACCCGTATGTGTTTCTAAAAGTGTCGCGTCCAATTGGTGTATATTACACGAACGGTACACAGGTGATAGGCTGTTTCCTAAAAAGGATAGGTTCCCTGCCTCTCCAGATGTTACTGTAAAATGCGCAAATTTATCTGTTTCGCATTATGTGTCATTCAAAAATTACATGTCTCCTGGTGAGTCTGCTGTAAGTTTAAGAACTTACAACACTAAAATCAAGGGTTCGATTTAACGCGGTAGACACCGCAGAGAGCCCAATGCTCTAAAAACACAGCAAACAAAAACTATTGTTGCGTCAGCGAGGTCACGTGACTAGTATCACGCCACCCGTTTTCTAGAAATATCCTGTTCCTTCAAGAATGCCCTAGCATTTACTAGATATGTGTTAGTCTTGTATATATATAAGACAGTCACAACGTGACGGGAACAGTGCAATGAGTAATTGAATGTATGCGGATAAAATATTGTTGGCCACGTGAGTTATAGCGTTTGTTATAGAGCGACTGTTGAAATTAAGTGTATCGTAAAGTTGTATTCGGAAAGAATAAACCAGTTTTATTTAAGAAACGGCTTGTGTCGCTAAAGTTTCGTAGGAACGAATTTACGGAAAATTAACTAGCGAAGGGAGACGTAACACTATATTGTTACGTCTCTGGTCGTTAAATAATTTTCCGTAAAAATTCTTTCCGAAGAACTTCAGCGATACAAGTCCTTTCTTAAATAAAACTGGTTTATTCTTTCTGAATACAACTTTACAATAAACTTAATTTTCACAGTCACACTATAACAAACGCTATACTTCACAAGGAACGCCTCACGTGCTCGACTCAACAATATGTCTCTCTCTCTCTGTCCGCAGTTCAATTACGTTGTTGCCGTCACGTCTTGACCGTCTTATATATAAAAGAATACAGAAAGCTAGTAAACGCTCGAGCATTCAAGAAGGGACAGGATCCTTCTAAAAGTTCATGACGTGTTACTAGAGTCACGTGACTTCCGCTGTCGTAACAATATAATGTTATGGAGGATTGAAGGTTGTCTAAGCCTGTGTTACAGTGGCATAGAGCTGTGTCATGAATAGTGTTACGTCTCCGTGTGTTAATTAATTTTCCGTAACTTCGTTCCGACGAAATTT